ATAGATAGACAGATACATAGATAGATAGATAGATAGACAGACAGATAGATAGATACATACATAGATAGATAGACAGACAGATACATAGATAGATAGATAGATAGATAGATAGATATTGTCAGATTACAGACAGACAGACAGACAGATACATAGATAGATAGATATTGTCAGATTATAGATAGATAGACAGATAGATAGATATTGTCAGATTACAGACAGACAGACAGATAGATAGATAGATAGACAGACAGATAGACAGATAGACAGACAGACAGACAGAGGTAAAGATAGATAGATAGACAGACAGACAGACAGACAGAGGTAAAGATAGATATATAGATAGATAGATATTGTCAGATTATAGACATGACAGTTAGATAGACAGATAGATACACAGACAGATGATAGACAGACAGACAGACAGATGATAGATAGACAGACAGATGATAGATAGATATTGTCAGATTATAGATAGATAGATTATAGATAGATAGAGACAGACAGACAGATAGATCACCTGTATTATATTCCAGTACTATGCATAGGCTAGTTGACTACATGCATCGCAGGTTGTGAAGGGTTTATTATGACCTGAGGAATAAACAGTTTAATTTTTTTTCCCAGGCAGCAGCTTCTTTTCATGTGATTTTATGCTTTTCGGTTAGACTGGGGGGGGGGGGTCTAAAGACTCTAAGGGTTTTTTAAAGAAAAAATGACAGGAAGCTTTGCAGAACTTTTCTGACACGCTTCTTGACTACAGCTGGCTTTCACTCTCCACCACAAATCTATGGGCTACTGTAAAACCGAATTATGCAACTCACACAGCTATCACAATAATAGCTCTCCCTTACGGTCTCATAACTGCTGAGATGGTTTTAGATCACCACATTTGGTTTCAGTTGTGCTCGACTATAATGAGTGGCCTACAAAACTGAACACTTAAGCCATATTAATGTATGAACGTCATTGTATTAGATTACAAAATATATGCAAACAAATGTGTAGTTAATCACCCTTTGTCTTCATTTTGAACGGTTTATCATCATTTTATTTCACGCCAAACATTTATACAAGTCTGACATCACGTATGTGTTATTTCCCAACACGTTTGGTCTTAATTCATGCATGTCTGATTGGGGAAGCACATCTGTCAAGACAAAAAAATGATGAGAATGTGCAGTGGAGCAATGGAAATTAGAATATTATTATAATATTAGAACGTTTTTTTTTTTTCAACATCACATTTTTATATATTCCTTTTTATTAATTTCAGCATGTCATTAACTAAATCAGAAGAAAATTTCAGATCCATTTTTCATATAAACAGCTGAAGTTCTCAGAAAGAGACCGACACTCAGACACTGAATCACTGACTCGTGTGTATGTACGTGTGTGTCCTCATGTTACCTCAAAATCAAAGTAAAATATTAGGCATAAAGAGAATGACATTTATTTTTAGGACCCTTAATATTATTTGCATTCACACTTAATGACAGTTAAGCACATTCCCTCTCCAAAAATGTTACTTTTCATTGGCAATTCACATTTTCCCCAAGATTAAACAAAACCAATATTATGATAACATACAAATACTTCACTTTAATTAATTAGCATTGGTGCAATATAAATTTTGGAGGGAAATGTAATATAATATGCGGTTTCTTTTGAGTGTGGAAAAAATAGAACTCGGACATTTTCACCAGATTCATCCAAAAATGCCTCTGAATAAAGAAAGCATGTTAAAACTCCCTAATTCCACATGCAACCTCAAAATCACACATAGAAACACACATCAATCGTTCATCAAATCATTATTTTATTTTAGTTTGTGAGTAACACGATGGATTTCTCCCAAACCCTCCCAGCAAGACCAGAATCATCACAGACTCATGATCTCAGTTTCACAACTTCAATGATGCCAGTAAATCACTCAATCCAACACTTTTCCATCCTTCTATGCATCCACACTAATCATTACCTACATTTGTGAAATAATGGTAATCCAAAAGACAAAGAAAAGAAAGACGACAAAAACAGCCCAAAACACAGATGTGCAGACAGGACATTTACAGTTGGAGATGATGCCCATCAGAGAAAGCAAAATGAGATATTAAGAGCAGAGCAGCAAATATTGGCCTAGATGTGTGATTTTTTTTTTGTTCTCAGTTACCTTTGAAAGTGCCAACTCTTCATTAGTCTTGGGGTAGAGCTCATGTTATGGCATCTCGCCAGACTGCTTCGATGGAATAGGAACAGAGGAGTCCGGTTTGCCATATTGAGAGTATAAAGTAACTTTAAGAATACTAGCAACACTACATACACTAGTTTACTTTAGATCAGGGTAAGCCCCTAATAGTGCCTTTTTCATATCTTTGGGGTCAAAGTATTTAGGGGCGGAGTCAATGTGACATGGTTGAGGAAATGACTTCAACAGCTTGCTTTACACCCAGGACATTGCTCTTTTTTTCATGTTTTCTCTTTGAGTGACACTTACTAGAAAACCGAGTCTTCAAAGGTGACTCATTAAATTTACTTGTAAAAAAACAAAAAAAACAACAACATTTCACCAGAAATGCAAAAGAAAACCATACATTTTACATTAAAAACTGAAGCCTATTTAAGCACATTCTTGTTAGTGTAATATGGAAAAAAAATGGAATTATAAAGTTTGAATTGGAAATATCTTCGATTAAACGGTCACTTAGTCCTCGTTCTAATGTGGTGTGAACATGATGGGTTCAATCGAATGAGAAGCTGCTACTGCTGCTAATATTGGCTGGACAGGATATGACATCACAGTGAGAAAAGTTAAAACGGTTCAACGGTTACGATCAGACAAATAACGCAACGAGGGCAAGAAAGTAAAACTTTCAGAGTAAAAACTGTCAATCGTCCTGTTATTGGGCTGAACAGGTTAGAATCTACATCAGAAAACACATTTGTACAGCAATCCATGATTTAGTAAAAAGTCCATTTGAATAGCAAAAACAAACGAAGAAAGAAAAAAAAAAAAACATTAGACAAAACTCACAGTACATTCACAGAAAAAATATTAGCAAATCTTGTGTGCTACAAGTAAGGCAGTACACTAGAACCTATGGATCTACCTGGCATTCTCCCTGGACACCTTACTGAGCGCATGCACCACATCAGGCTGCGTTACGGTCCAGGTTTGGCCTTTTACTGGACGCCCAGTCCATGCCACGACAAAATGCTGAACCTCACAGAATAGAAAATAATGAAAACATCTCATTTATGTGTTAAAACCTAGGTTTATATATCCAAGCAATCAAGTGGCAAATCTTGTAGTTTATAATGAATATATCCAATCAATCGCCTATGGCTTCTTGAGTAATTCTAGAACAAAGGAATAAAGCTGTTGGCCTGTAAACCTTACAATACCAAGTGTGCCATACTGTGGTCATGTGTTAGGCTTCAGGAACACTGTCTGGAAGTGTGTGTGACAGCTGAGAGTAGGAACAGGATCTTTATGCGATCGTCAGATGCACAGTTCAGGAATGGTAACAAAGATTGCGTTTCCTTTTTAGTTAGGGGGAAAGTTGCTATGCTATTTGAGAGCCATCATCACCGTGGTAACCATCAACATCCTCAAGGCCGCTTGAGGAGGTGTTCGTTTGGCTGTTGGTCGAGTGGCGGACCGCACCGCTTCGTTCTGACCGTCATCACGGCGGCAAGGATGGAGAAGAAGAACGGGGAAGGAGGGAACGTGGGAGTGAGGGGAGGAAAGATGGAGAGGGATGTTGGGATATGCTGGAGGAGAGGAACTTTTGCACTTTCAACAGATTCAGAAAGTCCATTAGTCCTTTCTCAGTTTCCGGTTTCTGGGAGACCTTCTCAGAATGTCATCCTCGGATTTCTACACGAGACACAATACGAGAAAATGGCTGTGTCAACAAAAGTAGTCAACAGATGTTTTTCAAATATTTGGTCGAAACAATTTGCAATGCATTTCTCAAGCCCTACTTGGACCGTAATTATTTTTCATGGGGTTAGTCTATAAAAATAAATTTGATTTACGATCCTATAAACTCAGAAATGCACTTCTTAATTGGTCAGTCACATGTTCAACATTTATAAAATTCCCAAACAGGAATTTGATGCACAATAGTTTAAATGGTTTTCTATCATTTTACACTTCCATGCATGTCATTGTTATATGTGGAAATCAGCAGAAATAAGTTAACACAGCTGTATTTACATCAGGCAAACATTTGATCGGACTACTTTGTCGACTAGTAGATTAGTCGTGCAAACTCTAATTTGCATAAATGTATGCAATACATTTTAAAATTTTATTGATTACCTGTTGCTGCCATAACAATGGTCCATTTGAAAGGTTTACACAATTTTGTTCAGTTTTGTTTTTCATCTTAACAACTCCCAGTCACTGTATTGGAGCGGTGACTTTATATTATTCTTGGAAACAGGTTCCATGTTTAAAATGTGTAGCGCAACAGTTACTGTGCAGTTCTTGGCATAGGTCAAAAAGGATTTACAAATTACTATTAGACTGATCCTCATAAATGTGGATTTGGACGGCAATTAAATTACCACACAACCTCTGTGCTTATCAAAAAACAGTAGCTAATTTGTCCGTAAATTTTTATGTGGGTAATGGGAGAGAAAAACAAAAACAAACAAAAAAAACATTCTGGATTCAGGCAGCAATTTAAAAAAAAAATGTAATAAAAAAAGACTAGTCCCTGAATAAACATTATGTTCCTATGAGAAACAATTATCCAGAAAAAAAAAAAATCAGGACCTCTATTAAGACAACATCAATTTGGGAAAAATTAAATGGCATTAAACACACCTAAAAATCACCCTAATTTACATGAACACATAAAATGCTGCTGAAGACTTGTGATGAAGACAAATTGATTGACTAAAATAAACTTTCTTCCAAATCCACATCAAGGTGCCTATTAAAAGACTTGAACCTTTTTTTTAACTACTAAAAATCCTGTTGCTATGGAATCTAAACAACAACACTTACAGAGTCTCAGAACGTAACATTTCCCATGTTTTTCTAGTAGCGTAAGATTCTCTACCTCATTAGATGTATCGTCGTCTTTGTTGTCGCTCCCTGCGGCCTCCTCTGCTTCTCCCGAGGAGTCCTCTTCCTCACTCTTCTTTGCTTCTGAGGCAAGAACACCACAGAATTAAAGGAAACAACTCAACCTTCATAAGGTCATAAACCAAGAACTAAAAGAAAAAACAAGACTCTATGAAGGATTTAGCAAAAGTTGTAATAGATGTGTGACATGTTTATCTATCAGACCTGATTCTTCTTCCTTAGCGTCCTCTTCCTCAGCTTCCTCTTCCTCAGCTTCCTCCTTCACATCTGGCTGTGGTGCGTCTGTCTTCTTGTACTCAGCAGCAGATGTGGACGCTGGGCTCTTCTGTAAGGCACAGAACGACATTTATTCTACAGATCCACCCTTGGCCATACATTAAGGTCAGGCTACTTTAAATGACACACACACACTTACCTTTCCAGTGCAGCAGAAGACAATGATGAGCACCAGAGGCAGAGCCACAGTCAGGACATAGACGATCCAGAGCCAGGGTCTCTCTTCAGCAGCTGTTATCATCTGATTCACCAGACCGGGCTGTGAACACACACACACACACACACACTTAATTTACTAACACACATGCACAAGAGTCCCACACAGCCAATCTAGAAGAACTTTGCTTCTTTATTTTTTTTCTGCTATTTTTCACCACTATCAATAAAAGTAGAAATCAGGAAATCACATGGCCCAAAAAACCCAAAAAAGATTATCTTGTAAAATCTACTAAGCTACAATTAAATCTAAAAAAAAAAAAATCTGTAAAACATTTGTCTCTCCATTTAAAAGTACATTACACTCAAACATTGATGCTACAAGAAGTTCACGAAGACATCGAAACATTAATTCATATCAATCAAGCAATTTAATCACAGTCTTGCCAAGCAGATTTTATTCACAGATAAACACACTGGTTGTCATCTGTCAAACGTGCAAGTTTCAGCTTCTGTTAACAATATTTGATGTGCTTTATGTATGTGCACTGATCAATGTTTACATGGGACTAAAAGCCTAAATTAAAGCTTTTGAGAGTTGAATATGAACTAAAATCTTATGGGTTTGGAACGAGATGAGGGTGAGTAAATGATGACATTATCATTGGATGAACTACCCCTTTAAGTTAACCAGTGACTGCATTGTAAACCCTCCAAACCAAGTGTGCATCCTTTGGACATGTGATAAAGTGTTCAGACGCAGTCACTCCGAGGCACAGGCTTCTGTCCTGACTGCCTGTCTTTCATGCTGCTGTGACAAAGTCATCATGGCCGATTAAACAGACCACAATCGAAGCATGAAGCTGCTCAGACAAAAACCCACAGGCTTCTGTTAGGTCCTTTAGCCAGGGACAGAGCTGGCCCTCGAGTTTAACATGCAAGGCATGCCTGGAATCCACCTTTAGGGCAAAAGGCATGTGCACAGTAGGAATTCTCATGAACGCCAGCCAAAAAACAGCTAATCCCAGAGTACACGGCGCTCAGCAGTGCCTCCCAGCACACCGACAGAGCCAGAGACATTCCCTTGGGGTCCTCAACCTGCCTCAGAGAGAGACCCCACACCAGAATTTACTTCTGAAAAAGACCCAGCGCTGCCCGCTGATTGGCCGTCACGCCCTGCTCATGTCTTTATTGACGAAAGTGAAAAAATTTAGCTTGATAATCAAAAAAATAAGAGACTACAAATGTTCTCTGTTCTGAAACAGGGTTTCTTGTAAGACAAATGGAAAAAAAAAAATGGAATTTGGGGGAACACTGATTTCAAAGGGCCCTGTGCATGTCAGAGAAAATGTTCCAGACAGACAGAAATTCATCATTAGTGGCTCATACTGAATTCTGGGCAGATATTTTCTGCATGCTGCTTCCCTCCCGACCCCACACCAGAATTTACTTCTGAAAAAGACCCAGCGCTGCCCGCTGATTGGCCGTCACGCCCTGCTCATGTCTTTATTGACGAAAGTGAAAAAATTTAGCTTGATAATCAAAAAAATAAAAGAGACTACAAATGTTCTCTGTTCTGAAACAGGGTTTCTTGTAAGACAAATGAAAAAAAAATAATGGAATTTGGGGGAACACTGATTTCAAAGGGCCCTGTGCATGTCAGAGAAAATGTTCCAGACAGACAGAAATTCATCATTAGTGGCTCATACTGAATTCTGGGCAGATATTTTCTGCATGCTGCTTCCCGTAGTGCAGAGATTCAGAGGTCAAACGTGGGCTGTGTGAAGGACACAGAGGTACAAGGAGCTGTGGTCTCGCTGCGTGTGTGTTTGTAAGAGAGATGCATACTGACACGACGGATCCGTGTGTTCATGTGTATTGTGTGAATGTGTGTGGGCTGATGAGGAGACATTCTGTGAAAGAACGTGGCTGGCTGAACTGCCTGTGCGGTGTCATGTGAGAAAGTCTCACTTAGTGAGTGGAAACAGATTTTCAGAGCAGCGCCGAGTGGATCGCCATGCTCCACTGACACACATGGCATCATTTACAACACGCGAGTCAGGAAAACAAGTAACACAGAAAAGAAACTTCTTACTATTGGCATAAAGTCATATAGAGGTCAACAACAAATACGAGACAAACATGTTAATAATCGATGTGCCAAGTCCTTAAAAATGTACTTTTTGTGCTCTTGTTGATTTCATGTGGTTCTGAAAAACTATCATTTTCTAGAAGTTAATGACATCAAAAGGTCAATCATTATTTAAAAAAAATATTTATTTCAATAAAGGAATTATTAATTTATACTAAATTGTAATAAAAAGGTCAAATTATTTAATATTCTAGGTGACTTGCTGACCTTAACACAAACAGTAATGAGGGGTCCTGCACAGAATTTTAATTCAGAAATTAAAAACATGTTTCTCATAGAAGAGGTGAATTCCAAGTCACCGTATGTTGGAAATGCACTTTTAACTTTAAACACGTCATTTGAGAAAAAAAAACAAAAAACATAATACATAAAGTAAAAACCTTTTGCCATAAACCTCACAACCCTTGGCAAATCAGTGACTAATTCTTCCTCAAAAGTGTTTAATGTATCAGCCAAGAAACTTTGCTTCCTGGTACTGCTGGGCGGTATGACCAAAAATGTATATCACGGTATTTTTCAAAATTATACCGGTTTCACGGTACATGACGGTATTTTTTTTTCATGCATGACCGGGTGTTAACCATATTTTCTACTGATTGAGAGAGGAAATACTGCAGTATATTGACTTAGAATGCCCTATTTTACTGTCATGATGAGTGAATATTGTCAAAAAAATACCACACTAAATAGTGACTAAACACGACCCCTTTGAATACATGTTAAGCAGGAGTCACTCTCATTTATAATCGCGGCATCATCTGATAAAATCAACATGCATCTAACACTAAAGAGCGGCTATG